AATAGGTAAATTATGTGCACTTCTAGGTGAGAACTACACTTGTTCAATAAGAATTAGGCTGTCGTCATTTTAAATGATTTGTAGAATTTCACCACCAGTCATGCCATAAACTTATCACTAAACCCGATGAGTTTCGGAGATTATAGAGTTCTTGAGTGGTATTCAGTCTGTATAAACACATCATACGTTTCATGATATCATTAAAGATGTTTTTAGTTGGACAGTTTTCAATTTCAAACCAGACCAGACTTAAACGGACTAGACCAAACCAAACCAGACCAAACCAGATCAGACTTAAACAGATCAGACCAGACTTGACTTCCGTATTATAAAATACACAGATACCAAACGTTTATCAGACCACACCAATTCAGACCATACCAGACCAGACCAGACCAGACCATACCAGACTTCAACAAACCAGACCAAATCAGACTTAAATAGACCAGACTAGACCAATCCAGCTAATTACACCCCAAGTAAAAAGATCCTGAACACATAAATTGAGAGTGCAGGGATGTTTTTACTTGGACTAAAATTTAATGGTCTGGTCTGGTCTGGTGTGATTTGGTCTGAATTAGTCTGCTTTGGTCTTGTAAATGTCTGATCTGTGTGTATTTTATAGTTATCCAAGTCTGATCTGAACTGGTTTGGTTTGGTCTGGTCTAAGACTGAAAACAGTCCAAGTAAAAACATCCTAATACTGGTAGTTTTTTTGACCTACTGACCCGAGGTATGCAAAAACTGAGGGAGCGTAAACAAAGTGCAACGTATAGAGAAAGAATGGCAAAAATATGATTTTAAGTCTCTAAAATATGACCAATTTAGAGACCAATTTTCGTTTAAGACTCAAATAATATTAAGTTTCTAAAATATCCATGAAACCCTAAATCCTCGTGCGTCGCTACTTTGCTTCAACCTGGAGAGCTTGGCCATTGATCAAGAGAGTTGGCGGCTTTGGATCTGGAGTGTAGGCGATTATGGTCTGGATTGCAGACGGTCGTCGATCTCCCTTCGTTGATTGAAACTTTGAAGACGTCTTCTGCCTCGACTTCGCGAGTCGCAATGAGCTCGGACTTCCGCGGCGATGATAAGTGTTGAAGTCGATCTGAGTGCAACTATGGATCTAAGTTATCTTCTTCGTCGTCGATATGTTGTAAGTCCATCAAGCGATGAATTTCCTTGTTGTCTTCTCCCTCTCGATGCAAGGAAGGGTGGGGCATGGGGGAGAGGAGCTCGGGCCAGCGGCGAGAAGCTCAGACCAGTGGCGAGAAGCTCGGACCACCGCGAACATCCATCGGTCACCAATGATGTCATCTTCTTCTCTTTCTTCTGTCTGGAATTCATAGATCTTGATATTTGTTGGTCTTATGGGGGATCAGCACCACCCTTTGATTCAGGGACTAACCGCCCAACCGGTTGGCACCACGATGTGGTACACGCCCCTCATGTCCATCCACCGCTCAGTAGTGGGGCTCTGCACTGCCATGGTGAACTGTGGGGGGTGACCCACATGAATCTACCTTGACTTGGGGACTACAGAGTAATGGGTTAAATAGAGGGTGTCCACTTCCTTATCACCAATTGGTTTTAAGAAAGATATGGTTGCTATTTAACCACAAAACTCTGCAGTTAAGCGAGCCCGAGGTAAGAAAGTCCAAGGATGGGTGACCCCGCAGGGAAGTTGGTTGAATCCAAAAAGGGGTGTATTGATCTAACAAGCTTGTCTAAATCGAAGAGGGTGTATTGATCCAACAAGTGGTATCGGAGCGAGGTCACATTTGAATCTCCCGGCTGGTGTTGAGGGTGATTGTTGGTCTTATGGAGGATCAGCACCACCCTTTGATTCAGGGACTAACCGCCCAAGCTATTGACACCACGATGTGGTGCAACCCCTCATGTCCATCCATCGTTCAGTAGTGGGGATCTGCACTGCCGTAGTGATCTAATAAGCTTGTCGAATCCGAAGAGGGGTGTATTGATCCAACAAGTGGTATCAGAGCGAGGTCACAGGTGAATCTCCTGGTTGGTGCTGGGGTGATTGTTGGTCTTATGGGGGATCAGCACCACCCTTTGATTCAGGGACTAACCGCCCAAGCTATTGGCACCACGATGTGGTGCAGCCCCTCATGTCCATCCACCACTAAGTAGTGGGGATCTACACTGCCGTAGTGTGGTCGGTGTAACACCGGACCCGAATTTTACCCAGAGAAATTTTTTTCATCGAGTACATGGTTAAAGCAGGTAAATCAAGACTAGAGTAGCCTTGATAAATGAGAAAGATAAAATTGTTGTCTTAAATTAATAAAGGATTATTGATTAGACGCGGGACCTGCATCAGGAGCGGGGACCACCCGTGGTATTCTTAGTATATAAAAAAAATTAATGTTGATCTAAACAATACTATTTTGATAGTTGGAATGGGCCATGGACCCCAGTGATATAAGAATGACAACTAGACGGCCAAGTGTGCTGGGCCACTATTCGATAATTGTGATCCCTTAATTATCGGATTGTTAATAATTCGGAAGACTATGAATTTATGACAAAAGAAATATAAATATTTTAAGAATCCAAAATAATGGGTTGATAAATATATGATTAATTTGGTACATTAAAGGAGGGTACTTTTGGAGGACTCTACCTTAGAGATATTTTGGTTTGGGAACAAATAGATAAGATTTTATCTATTCATACATTTTGGACCACTTCAAAACAAGTGTAAAATTTTATTAAAGTGTCACAAAATACTAAAACCGCATATTAAGTCATGAGAAATGACGAGTGAATTTTCAAGACAAACGCGTTCTCATCTTCACCATTATCACCTTTATTATCACCTTTGAGACAAAATATCTCCTCAACCATCACCCTCCCACATTATTTCGACCAAGACACCAAAATAAGAGAGAAGAGGTCTGCAACTTATCATCTCCATGTCCAAGAACCGAGCTCAAGGTTGGAGAAGGCTCAAGGAAGAAGAAAAGCTTGGAAAAGAAGAGAAAAACTTAGAAAAATCAAGGTAATGACTTCATTAGTATTTTTCTTGCTTCATTTAATCTCATATGATTTTATAAATCATGTGACAGACCAATAAGCTTGTTCTACACTCCTAGAGGTGTAGAATGAGGGGTTGGAAGGATAGTTTTAACCATGAACGGAGTTGTGACCAAAGTAAGACCGGTTCACCGGAAAACACCTTCTCGGAGGGTTTTGATATTTATGCCACTTTTGGTTTATGAAACCTTGTTAGGAATTTTACCAAGGTATTCTAGGCTTCTCAAGGAATCTAGGAGTGGATGGAAAAGTCGCCGGAGCCGCCGGAGCTTTCGCCGGAAAATTCCAAAAGTCACCGGAGTTCAAACGAGGAGGATAAAAGCTCGCTAACATCATTTCAAGGTGAGTGGACGACTACGTGTCTTGTAACTCTTGGGTCAAACGTGGGATTACCTAAATAAAATCATAATCATGATTTGAGAAGTGATTAAATGGATTAAAATGCATGATTAGTCATGGTGAATATGAATTATGGAAATATTACATGGTTATTGAATAAGAGATTTATTTGTGGATTAATCATGAATATATTATTGTCAAATGTATAAAAATGCATGGACTATGTATGAGACAACTAGAGTAATCTAGTATGTGAATATGTATAGAAATGTTTAAAATTGTGTAAACATATGATTAACCATATTGATTATAAATTAAGTGAAAGTGGCATGATTAATTAATGAGTAAAGGAATTATTAATATTTTTGATGAAGGATAATCATGAATGATTTATTTGGATATTAACTAAGGAAATTCAAGATAATATTCTTGAAGGATTCAAGTACTTAATCATACATGTCATTAAATTAAATTTAGTTTATGAGAAATAAACTAGGGTAAAAATACATGGTATGATTAATTAATATAAATGATTTTGTTGGCTCATTTGAGAAATGACCAAAGTAACTCAAGTAATATTCTTGTGAAGATTTTAGAAACGCTTAAGTGTGCATAATACAAAAAATGATCTAGTTATGAGAAATGAACTGGAACAAAATATATAAACGATTAATAAGTATGAAGTACTTATTAATAGTTGTGAGAAGACAACTTTATGCTTTATAACTTTTGCGTGAGGCATGAGATTACCTAAAGTAATCAAGAACATATTTTATGGAATGATTAAAGATAATCAAGTATGTGTTATGCCATGATTATATGTAAAATATAGTTGAAAATCATGTTAAGTAAGTTTGATGATTTAAAATATGATAATTAATTATGTATGATGTTCCAAGGACCCAAAAAGGTATTTTTGGATTGAGGAAGTCAAGAAGTACATGTGTATAAAATTTCACGTAAATTGGACTCCGTTTGGGCGGTCAAACGGGCGTTGACCGCCAAGTCAAAGGTTATACCCGACCGGGTATGAGTAAATACCCGACCGGGTATTAGCTAAAAACAGTCCCAGGGGCTACTGCCTCACCATACCCGACCGATTATGGGTAAATACCCGACCGGGTATTGGGTTATACACCCAATATGCATTTTTTGAGTAAGTTTACGTGGGCCGTTCGGGTGGGACCCGTCCACGTCGGTTGTTAAGACTTCAAATAAGGTTTAAACGCTAAGACTTGGACTAATCGTTAGTAAAGAAATTATAGATCACGACCGGGCGAGGTAACACTAGTGCAAAATATGCATTCTACAACTAGGTTTTAATATGGGTTCACTTAGCACCGTTGTTATATGTAGGCGCGGGGTTATTTTTATAAATATCGAAAGTTAGAGTTAGTTGAGCAGGTGAATTTTATAAATATAAAATACTATTTATAACGGTCATTACTAGAACCGACATAGTAAACTGAAACGGGGTCATTTATATAATTTCCGAAAACTTAATTTTGAAATAGGGACTGTTTTATCATTTTAAAAAATGTTTTTCCATGTCAGTTTAGTCTTAACCCTTACCAAAAGTAGTGGATCAAGATTAAACACCGGGCAAAAACTTAACCCGCTGCTGAAACTGCTCCCTTCTGTTTGTCTCACGACCTACGTACGAACGCCCCGCTGCTGCTCTTAGCCATCTGCCTAAGCGTCGTTGCTGCTCCTGAAGATTTCAAAGAGGACGTCACAACAGACTGACGAATTGGACGGATACGCTGCAGCAGACCGACGACCTGGACGAAGACATCGCCGCCGCTGCTCCCGCCGCTTCCACGAAGATGACGCCGTTGCTGCTCCTGGCAACAAAGACGCCGCCGCCGCTCCGGACGACTTTGAGGAAGGCGACGCCACAGCTCCGGCATTCCATCTCCTTAACCACCGGTAATTTCTTCACATTCTAAATATTTAATTAGTTATCCTATTCCTAATCGATTTATGTGCATTTTCTAGGAGTTGTGTAGTACATTAAATTTGTGATGAAGCTTGAAGAGTTTGGTATATAGGTTTTAAGTTTTCTAATGTGCATTAACTGTTTGTTAAAATGTCTCAATGAAAAATTTAAAGGAATATTTTGTTTCGTCTTCTTTTTATGTAGTTTGATGTTGGTAGTTGATTAAGTATATTTTCAATATTATTGGAGAAGTTTGCTGAAATATATAGATGTAACCTTAGAAGAAACATTTCAGGAAACATGACAGTACACATTGTTTTTAAGGACTTAAGGCTTGACAGGGTATTAGATCTTACATATCTTATATAATGGATGTTTTGACATTCACATGTGAGTGCCCGATTGGGATCACTTTGCTAAAATGCACTAATTTTGTGCTCTTTTATTGAAAAGGTGTTTTTACATTTCAAATGCTAAAACTTAATAATGTTTTTTAGTTTAATCAAATTACTTTGTTTCAACAAAACCTGCAACAAATTGGTTTTTAAATATGGAAAAGTGCTTCTTATCCCATTCAGAAGTCATCCCAAGTGGTCTCTAGTCTTTTTCTTCATTATTATCTATTTAATAAATTTTAAATCCTTTGGTGCTTTATTATGCAGCAATGTTTTTTAGATCAACCAAATTACTTATTTCAACAAAACTTGCAACAGATTGGTTTTAAAATATGGAAAAGTGCTTCTTAAAATATGAAAAAGTGCAACAGATTGCTTCTTATCCCATTCAGAAGTCATCCCAGGTGGTCTCTAGTCTTTTTCTTCATTATTATCTATTTAATAAATTTTAAATCCTTTGGTCCCTTATTTACATCAATGTTTTTTAGATCAACCAAATCACTTCTGTGATGCTTCTTAGTGTTCTCTGCAAAATTATTTGAAGGATGGGTCAATCATTTGGATACCTTATAGTGGATCAGTCAACTGCAGTTGTGAAGGAGCACTTTGGCAAATTTGATTGAGTAATGGAGCCTGGGTGTCATTGTGTTCCTTGGTGTTTCGGTTACAAGGCTGCTGGTACTCTATATCTGCGTGTCCAACAGATTGGTGTTCGTTGTGAAACTAAAACAATGGACAATGTGTTTGTGACTGTGGTGGCATCCATTCAATACCGAGCTTTGGCTGAGAAAGCTTCTGATGCTTTTTACAAGCTTTCAAACACAAAGTCACAGAAAGCTTCTGAGAATTCCTCTACCACTGCAAAGTATGGACACCCCTCTCAGACAATTAAGGTCAACCAAACTGTACTTGTATATCAAACAGTGTTACATAGCCACATCTGTTGTAACTGTAAACATGCAGACTGCTTTCTTTATTTCCCAAGGTTTTAAAAGGCGTGATAAGAGGTCTAACATGCTTCTGGTAATTGAAAATGTGTTGTTTTTTATCTTTCCCATCTTATGTAGTTTTGATACGCTGTGTGCATTAGCCCTCTCACATGATATGGCCAGTTTTCTATATGCTTACTTACATAGACATACTGTGATAATATCTTAGACTATGTTGTATTGCTTATTTTTTTAAAATATATTTCCTCTATTTTGGTGCTCAAGTCTATGATTTCCTGCCTGCATAGACTTTTGGCACATGATCGACCATTGACGAGCACTTTGTCACGGTGCGTCAAAATAAATTCAATACTAAACACTTATACGTAGTATAGTGTAGTAGAGTTCGTATCCGCAGGGAAAGGTATAATTCTCTTTCTATGAACTTAATGAATAACAAGGGGGGTTTTGGTTTGAGTGATTTAATTTAATTAAAAACTAAGATTAACAACCTATATGTGTTTAGTTCAAGAATAAAAGGGACTTGGCTTTGCTACTTTCCACTTGTTGATATATTTTAGTCGATCCTTGTTATATCTATAACTTATCCCCTCTCGAATACTCAATCGAGGAGTATCTCCAATTCATCGAGGGTAGTTATTAACAACGACCGTTCATTAATAACCCTTACCATTAATCAAATATAGAACAACGCCTTATACCGATATAATAGTAGCATTCAATCTTTTTAACTCCTTGATGAAATCAATTGAGATTGATAACCTTAACACAACGGTTTCGGTTTAACCAACAAAATTGATCCCTCTTAAGTCTATTAACCACGACCGTGCATTAATAAACCGAAGTCACTTACTTGTGAAACCACCAACGATTAACCATCGGTTCGTTGATCGTTTCTAGTAGTAATTAATGTCGGAACGTTAACTAATCGTCACTTAGCAACCCTCCAACATTAATATAGAATGAGATTAAGGGAAGAATTAATAATCAAGAGAAGAAGTTAAGAAAATAACTCACAACTTTAATAATCAACAAGCTTCAAGAGCAAAACCAAGAATGGAAGTTTAGCTCCTCATGTGGAGGCTAAACATAGCTAGAAAAATATAAATAAATGCTATTCTAAACTGAGCTAAAGAGTATGGAAGAAGGGATCGTTTTAAGAGGAGAAAAAGAGTGCTATTTATAGGTGTTTTTCAACACCTTTGGCCGGGTACCCGACCGGGTATAGGTACATACCCGACCGGGTACCGGTCAAAATCAGATAATCTCCCACGTTTCATTGTTCCAGCACGTTAATTTGTCCGGGTCAAGTCAGACCCGACCGGGTCAAGTGAGGGACCCGACCGGGTTTGGTCTAAATCAGATTTTTTCCAAAATCTTTGTGATCTTCAGCATGTTCTGGTGTTCCGGGTCATATCTGACCCGACCGGGTCGGGTATGGGACCCGACCGGTTCTTACTTTTTCTTCTTAGATCTGTTCCTCAACTGACCCGACCGGGTTCAAGGTCTGACCCGGTCGGGTTTTTGTGCTCCTGGGTCTTTTTGTCTTCAGTTTTTCTCCCTTTTTCCTTGCTACAAACTCTATCACTATTCTAAAACTCCGAAAAAGAAGGAGAGAACAATTACAAACAAATTAAAACAAGTACTTACAAACTAACTAAAAGTGATGAAAAATCCACACTCAATCAACATAAAAACATACGTTTATGCACTATAAACTAGTGCATATCAAACACCCCCACACTTGAATTTTTACTAGTCTCGAGTAAAACAAATTCTGTCCAAGGGGTCCTTAATTGACAAGAGTAGCAACACCAACATCCAAAAGTTTTTATAACAAATACATAAAGCATCTCCAAAACCAAAAGAGTAAAGATGGGTCTTCAATTTCAATCCGAATTCTCTATAGTAATTGCCCTCAGGATCCTGCAAAATCAAAAGAAATAACTTTCTCTCATTCTCTCATTTTGCCTAGGTGCCCTTTCAGGTTTTCAACCCAGCTTCCCACATTTTTTTTTGTTTTCAAATCTCACAAACTCACTCCTATTTTTGCTTTATTTTTGCTTAAGCTGCCCTTTGTGGGTTTTCAACTTAACAAGCTTTCGTTTTTTTTTGTATTATTTTTTTTTTAATTTTTTTTTAAGAGAATAACAAGAATAAAGAGTGTGAATGTGAACATACCGGGAAGATCTCCCCCACCACTAGTCCGTGGCACAGTCCCTAGTGCCCGCCCGCATCTCCGCCATCGAAAAATCCTCCATAGCCCCTATACTGTGTATCCTCGTCCATATGATCCCCGCTGTATCCGTCTTCCCCGCCTCCACCACTAGAGGTTGAGCCACCAAAATAACCACATTCAGTGGGGCTGTACCATGAAGGTGCCGGAGGAGGAGTGGTCATGGAGGTGAAGTTTCCCTGATGCGCGATATAGGAGTAGATAGGCCCAAAAGTCCTCCTTTGATCCTCTTCATATCGGCGCCAATCTTCTCGCCTTTGTTCTTCAAACCTCTCGAAGCTGTGCCTTTGCTCATTTATGTACAGCCCGACTTCCTCCCGAAGTTGGGTGTAATTGAGGTTAAGAGCATTCATGCTGTTTAGCATTTCTTGCTCAAATGGAGAGTATTGATGAGCATGGGGTTGTGGGTGAGGTTGTTCAGGAATGATGGGTGGTGCTTCAAGGGCAGGCTGTTCATTGGCGGCTTCATTGTCCCCCGCCTCATTTTCTGGGGGTGCAAAGTGTGGTGGAATTCCCCCGGGCATACAATAGTGGTGTCCATCACCGATTTGGTGATCGATGATGTTAAGCGGGAGGTTTTCGGAAGGGAAGGGGTAGAATAGTTCTTGGCCTGGTTTGATGTGCCAATTGTAGATTTCTAGGCCATCATGTTCGATATGTGAGAGGGTCACATCGCCAGCATTCTTTAAAAATTGAAGGCCAAGAAGGGTCCTGTGGTTTTGTGCACCATTGCATACAAAACCATATAACGTGGCAATGTGGGTAATTAGACCCCCTATCAGAATTTTTCCTCCACCACTTTTAACATTGATGATGTGATCCCAAAGAACTGTGGTCACATCATATGGCCCGGCACCCGGAAGAACAGCTTGTGCTAAGAGGCATACATCCCACACCCTAGTTTGATGGTTGTTTGGTCTTCCGAAAAAGCAATTAGCCAAGAATTTTAAGAAAATTCGGAAGACCGGGTGTTGGACATGGTTGACATTGAGGTGGGAGGTACGAATTTTGACAATTCCGGTCATTCTTCCCCATAGTTCATAGGCCACCGGTGAGCTATATGCTACCGTGTCATCAAGCAAAGGTAGACCGAAGTGTTCAGCGAATTCTCGTTTGGTGAGTGAGCGGTTCTCGTTGAGCAAACGAAAGTTGATCGTGTTATTTGTGTGATCATTTTCATCCTTCACATGCTCAACGGAACTGTAAAATTCATATACCAAACGAGAATATGGCCAATAGTGCATATCAAATATTTTAAGCATGCCACACCTTTGGAATATCTCTCTCATAATGTCATGAATCCAGAACATTGTTAAAGTCAATTGGCATACAAAGCGGGAGGGTTTTACCTCTTGTTCGGATTGCTCAAGGAAGCGGATGCGTTGTGATTCGGTCTCAAACTCCACTGATTCGAAGCCCTCTACTGGTGGAATAGCTCTTGGAGCTCTTGAAGAAGAAGCTCTTGCCTTTTTTGGTGCCATGGAATTGTTTTCCTCCCTTTTTTTTGAAGGGTTTTTGATTTTTTTTGGAGAGGTGAGGTTTGGTGAGGGTGAGTGGTATGGTTTTGTAGAGGATGAGGAGGAGAAGAGGTTTTTGGTGTTTGTTGGGGAATTTGCCTTGAAATTGGACCTTGAATGTCCGAAAATGGAGAGGTTCGAAATTTGGGGTAGGGTTTTTGAGTTTGGTTGATTTGGGGGATTTTGGAGGGATTAATTGGTGTTGGGTGGAAGAGGGAGGTGAGGAGATGAAGAAATTGATGTTTTTTGATGGATTTGGTGTGGGAATGGGGGAGATTTGGGAGTTTTGGTGGATGAAAATGGAGGTTTGGGGAGGGTTGGTTCAAAATTTGGGGAGAAGAAGACCAAATGCCCGACCTGGTATGTGCTGAAAAGTCGTTGACCCGGTCGGGTCCCCTCATTTACCCGATCGGGTCAGCGTTCCGGAGGTTGGCAGAATGTTTTTTGGCTAGATACCCGGTCGGGTCTCCTTATTTGACCCGGTCGGGTAAGCTGCGTTCTTAACCAGTGAGGTCTGGTGGTTGATACCCGATCGGGTGAAATAAGGTACCCGGTCGGGTTTGCTTCCTTTTATCAATTTTTCACTCCCCCACCCGGGTAGCCATGCGGGTATCTCCGTCTGTCTGCAATACCCGACCGGGTGAACTCACATACCCGGTCGGGTCACCTTATTTTTTTTTAATTTTTCATTTCCCCACCCGGGTAGGCGTGCGGGTATCCCTGTATTCCTGTAATACCCGACCGGGTGAGTTGTGATACCCGACCGGGTATACTCCAAATTCATTTTTTTTTGAAATGATTTTACACACACACTCTACTAAAATAAAAAGAAGAAAAACATACCGTGCATGGGTTGCCTCCCAAGAAGCGCTTTATTTAACATCGTGGCTCGACGATATCTTCTGTTGTTCCTCATTCGTAGACCGGTTCAGAAAGGTCTACGACTTCCACATTTTTGGGTTGAAAACCCTCAAAGAAGGGTTTTAATCTCTGTCCGTTCACTTTCAGCACCTCTCCCGTCTCCAGGTCCTGAATTTCCACCGCCCCGTGTGGATATGTTTTGACCACTTTGTATGGTCCGGTCCAACGGGATCTCAGCTTTCCCGGAAATAGATGAAGGCGTGATTGGAATAGGAGGACTTTTTCATCAAGTTTAAAGTCTTTTCGTATGATCATTTTATCATGCCACTCCTTCGTCTTTCTTTTGTATATTTCTGCATTGTCATAAGAATCCAGGCGAAGTTCTTCCAATTCTTGTAATTGGAGCTTCCTATGTACACCGGCCTCGTCAAGATTGAGGTTGAATTCTTTAACCGCCCAATAGGACTTGTGTTCGAGCTCTACAGGGAGATGACATGCTTTCCCAAACACAAGTCTATAAGGAGACATACCGATTGGGGTTTTGTAAGCAGTTCGGTATGCCCATAGCGCATCATCAATGCGTATACTCCAATCCTTCCTGTTCGGGTTCACTGTTTTCTGGAGTATAGATTTAAACT